ATTTGGAAATGTCTCTTTTTAAGTTTTTTGCAGATTTGAGGCACTAACACTCCGGGTGAACGTTCTCTTTGCACTCCTCCTCGTAACACAAAAGTGAGGCTGTGTCAATATTTCTGGCGATAGCTCTTGTTAAACAACTTTTTATTTTTAGGGCATAAATTATGCAAAGGCTCAAGTCTGATGTTATGTTATTATGTTATTAAGGATCAGTGTTTCATTGAGCATTGCGTGCTTGATTAGTTTTCGAGTTAGATTTCAATTTTATTGGTCCGCTTGGCGAGCCAAATCTTGGATCGTAATTCGCCTGAACAAACACGGTAGTGTGGTTCAAGACACAATAAGGAAATTATGGACATCAACTCTTGAGTAAGGCGCTCAAACTATTAGCTGCCTATACTACATCTGGATATTGTGTCAACTTCAGCCATGGTATAATGTCGTGTTGCTAGAAACCTTTACATGCTACAAACACGGGGGATAAAATCAAATTATTAATGAGACAATATATATCGGATGTAGGTTTGAATGTGTACATATATGTGGTTACTAATAAACCTTAAGAACTGATTTTTCAATATTTAGACTGACTACGTATTGGTTTCACAAACATCTTGAGTCCTTTGTCTTCCAGAAATATTGATACTCAGATATATACATCACCAATATCACATGTTGAACGAATGTTCACAACAGATTATCTTCTCTTTCATGTTGCCACACGTGCGACGTATTATAGGCTATCTCTGCAGACTTGAACCGTATTCATTGTTTTTCAGGGATAGGCTACAACGGAAGCTGCTCACAACCTGGTTTTGCGTTTACGATGCCAGTGCCAACTGTTACAGTGGTAGATGTCGCTGTGACCCGGGATTCTTCCGAAACACAATCTGTGTCAGCAGTAAGAGTGGTTAATATGGATGTCTATCTTACCTTACACGTGAAATTTGGATTGTGACTGGCTCATTTTTAATTCCTCAGAGTGGTATCCTGACCGAATCTTATAAGAGTATGCATGTATAATGCACCGGCAATATGCAGCTTGGTTAGATAAATGCATTGTCCACCGATCATTCCACTGTCATGGGGTGATGTACCCTCCATGTTGACCTGTGGATAAAGTTATTATTGTTCATGTTTATTCTTCAAACCCTTTAGCGTCATGGTCCCGAAATGGGTATTTCAGGCTCGCACTTCAACATATTTCCGGTGATGTCATTTTATTGCACATAATCGGAAGTTTCTGTCTTAGTCGAACATCAAGCAATGTCAGTCAGTACTTACATGAACTTACATTGCAATTTTCTCTAATACGTACATGAGCATGAACTAGTTATATATGGATGTACCCTGTTCAACTGACCTCCGTCTGAACATCTGAAAATCTATGATTTGAAAACCACGCAAAGTGATAACCACGACTCCAGACGCACCGTCAGTCTGAAATACTAGGGTCGTTTGAATAAGGTTAAACCCTCACAATGACCGAATTGCGTAATGGCGACTTTTGTTGTGGAAATCCCATGATATCAGAGACATATCAAAAATTATATATATTTGTAAAACGTCACTGACTTATTTTGCTTAATTGTCACAGCTACACAATTTGTTTGATTGTCTCCATTACACAAGTTTATATTATCTGTAGGAAATGGGTCAAAGGATTTGTTACCGATGCTGATGAGAGTGGTATACTTTATATTAAATATGGTCTATCATGTATGAAATCTCCACCGTCACAACTACGTGTGATAATTCTGAAAACATGCATGCTTGTCCGACGGTCTCCCCTACTGAATCTACAGTGATGAAATCCATCAAGTTCCTGTTCATGAAAGATATTTTCCTGTGTATTGATGGGTTCCGTTCCTGTTCATGTAAATTCAGTCAACCAACTTCGTCCTACCACTGTGACGGCCGTCGTACAAAGCACGACCACCATGACAGCAACATGGACAGCTCCTTCTAACGCCGTCGTCACCGGGTACAAGGTCGCGGTTACACCAGGGGCATTACTCCAATCCTTGTCGGCAGAGACATCAGGACGCCCATCACAGGTCTGATGCCGGGGACAGTATACACTGTGAACGTGAAGACAAAGATTACCTATCTGCAAGGACGAGATGAGATGACTGATGCTGTATCTGCAGCACCAAAGCGAACAAGTACTGTACACTTGGCAGTTCTTCTGTTCAATTGCAGTGGTTGACAACGATGACGTTATTAATGTATGTGTGTATGTATGTATGTGTGTATGTATGTATGTGTGTGTGTGTGTGTGTGTGTGTATGTATGTATGTATGTATGTATGTATGTATGTACGTACGTACGTACGTATGTATGTATGTGTACACCAGCATAAAATTTAAATGGTAATTGACCACAACTTAATGAAATGTAGCAAACAATAAATTGAAAGTACCACATTAACTCTCAAGCAATGATCTCAAAACACAATCCTATAGTTCTTATTCGGAGTCATTTCAAAAAGCCCACTTATGCATGTTGTGGCGTGAATCTGGCACAAGTGTGAAAATGGCTTTACGAGGAAGGCATTACAATTACAAAGCGTGTGTATAAGCAATGACTGAAACAAAAACCAATCTCAGCCCGATCTTAACCACAAGACGGATTTTCTTCTCACAAAGTGGGAAAGATACCAAATGTAAATTACTGAACGGAAAAAGGAAACTATAGGTACGTAACGATAAAGGGTATATTTAAAATTACCTTGTGCCAACTGACCTGTTGACTGTGTGCAAAGATATAAATGTAACCCCCCTGAATCTATCATCCAAAACTGGCTCCCACAGTAGATTCGCTTGTGTAAGATCAAACGATATCTACATTGTAGATATAACAACAAGTGAATTGTCATACTACCGTCAGTTAATGGCCTCACAATGATTTGACATCACTAAGAACATAGCTGACAATGCTATGACGTTACGAAGTTGATGTCACCACAATGCTATCATGTCATAAAGCTGATGACGTCACAATGCTATGACCTCTCTGAGATCACTGCTCAAGACGCCGATTGGCGGGTTTGTGTTCAGATAAATTCATTCATTTACTGATTACTGATGAAGAATGATTTTGGGTGATAAATAAAATCTCACCCTCGTGTCTTCATATATCAAATATATCAACACTTGTTGATTAAAGTAAAACTATCCTCGAGATACCTCATAAATTTATAACTTTAATCAACTCGTGTTGATATATTTGATATCAGAAAACACTTGGGTGAATTCTCTATATATCACATATAACGTCAATGCAGAGACAATAATAGGCGTCTCTGTAACATCTAATGGGCCCCAATATTTTAGCTATTTTCTGTGTTTGCGTCACTCTGTTTTTCCGACCCGTGAAGGTCCGGGTTAGAATGAATCTTCAGTAACCCATACTTGTAGTAAAGAGGCGACTAACGGCCTCGGGTGGTGAGGCTCGCTGACTTGGTTGACACATGTCATCGGTTCCAATTGCGCAGATTGATGCTCATGCTGTTGATCACTGGATTGTCTGGTCCAGACTCGATTATTTACAGACCGCCGCCATATAGCTTGAATAGTGCTGAGTGCGGGGTAAAATAAACTCACTCACTCTGTTTTCTAACAATAACTTAAAGAGTTTATCTGGAATGCTGCTATCAACAGCTAAAGAAAATAAGCTGCTTCGTCGTGTATGTCACTACATCTGCACAGGATGAAAGGAGAAAGACTTTGTAAATGAAATATGTACCCACCAGGAAGAATGGAAACATATTTTGCAGAGCTGACCTGTCTCTGTATTTTAGAATCCATACAGCACTTACACCTCATGTGTTATACAGCATGGCATTGTTATATATCCAGAATTGACAGAAGAATTGCAGTATGTAATAAGGATTGGATCAGGGAGCAAATTAACAAAAAGAATGTACAAAATATAATACCTTTGCTAAAGTACTGTCGGAAATAGATAAAACTGTATTTTCTCAATTTTTCTCTACAATTTATATAGTTGATATGTGCAAATGTGAAATATCTGTTAAACTAAGTTCGGCCTAACTACAGTCTCAGTGGTAGGGACATAGGAAACGTAGAAAAGGACTTTACATAGGAGAGATTAGTGCAGAAATGAGCAATGCGGTTTTTCACTGAGTCCAAAACGATTTATTTGGAACAGACCATGGCTTTATGCAAATTAGTGTGCGACGATATTGTATTACAAAAGGACACTTTTAAATGCCCAATTTGAAATTAGACGTAGATTCATTATAAACGATAGCTGGCGTAAAATAATAACTTTCATGCTGAAACTATTAAGGATGTAGCTACCATGGAGCCTCACTGTCACTATATAACAAGAAACAGATAGGAGGGTTCGTCTCAAACGCAAAATCTGGACGGGTGTCGCCAGACGATCGTTTAGGAGGTCGGGCTGGAGGATAGAGATATCAGCTAAGATAAGATAATCCTTTAGGGCAATTATACTGGTGAAAAGTACACGGCATGTCAAAAACATTTACAATTAATATCCAGTCCTGTCGATCTTCGCGATCGGGTGGTCATGCCACCTATATATTTTGAGACATTTAATACGATGGGTTTCTATGGTTATCATGTATCATACTCTTTTACATATCTCAACATAAACTTTATTTAAGAAAGACAGGTAAGATGTTAATCAATAGATGAGACACAGTCAACACACATGAAAAAGCACAAAATATCTTTTGAGATGACCCCTTGTGCCTGTAGGCAGCACATGCGTGAGTCGACGGTCCGTTGTCATACCTGGCTGAGCGACCTAATTGCACCTAAAGTCTGATCTGTTGTTTTTCAGCAGCTATTCGTATTTTTTCTAAGTTTTGCCCGATTTTACGAGTAAACATGCTTTTCTGGATATCGTATTACGCATCCCACTGAATGCCAAGTTAGGCCGAAGTGGGTTATTTCGACTTATATGCTATTTGCAGTTGTATAAATTTTAGTGATACAGAGTAACAGCCTAAAACAGTTTTTTCTATTTCCGACAGTACTTTAATGTTTACCATCACAATGTCATCCTCAACAGTGGATTAATATGTACTTTCAGAGAGAGAGATATTCTTTTCAGTTCTAATGGGTAATCTTGATGTTGAAATGTATATTAGAATAGAGATAATGGAAGAGCATGACATGCTTGCATTCTTTCCTGGGGCCGATAACCACGTTATTGATGAACTAACATGGGATTGCAGAATTCTCAAAGTATCCGTATAAACTAAAGGATATTGTTAATGAGTATATGGTAATAATTTTACCAATATCTCTCGCAGTGTATAGCCTGTATATACTGGGGAAAATGTTTTCATAATTACCTATACGTGCGTGAGTGTCTGATGAGTATTTTGTTACTTAATTATGAAATTACATAAACATATTTTGAGGATCTTCGGACTTATCTAGAGGAAATAAAGACATTCGTTTATTCTTCATGAGGGAGAAAAAATATATGTATCAACGAACACCGTGACCGGGTACCGGTATGAGGTTGGAAATATTACTTCTCTCGTTAATTGATATAAGGAATATGCCCAAGCTGATGAATGCTTGCTTACACATTTTACGCCATGCCAAAACACATTGCGAAAAATACACCCACGTGTTCTAAGTACTAAGATTGGATATTTTATCATGAGGACCAGATAATTGTGTTTGTGCATTTGAACGGGAGCATGTTTACGTCAAAGTATGACAAAACATGAGCATACGTGCAAAATTGTTTTATAACGAAAATCAGGACAATCAAAATGTATGTTGATACAATTGAATCATGAACCTGGTGTCTCACCGGCACGACTATGTATTTTTAATGGAAATTTATTCCTTTAAAACTAAATACCTTAACCTTGTGTCACACCCATGGACTACTGAAATCATTTCTACATGGACCTGTAAAGTGATTTATGTGGGGCCCTGAAACAGCTATACCGAAACCAATGCTTTACTCGTTAAAGTCGTAAAAATATATTATCATCTGATAGCCGTTTTGTACGAATGTCATGTAATACGTTTTTATTTAACGTCGCTTGCATGTCACGTCACAATTCTGTCTGCATTTGTGTTGCACCGATGGCGGTGACGTGGTAAATGCAAATATCAAGGAAATATAATTTACTGAAATTAATCGTTTTGTCACTTGTCACCTGTTGTGAATGTTGGGGTCGCCAACAGGCGGACGGGATTTTACGCGCTGATCGGTAAACATATGGATTATATAGACCTGTAGTGAGCGGATGAGTGTTAAACTCGTGGTGGAGAGTAGAGAGTATGGGTTACGGAAAGATTGTTCTAAAGCGTTTGTGATACATGCGTGATATAAAGCATGATTAACTGATCTTAGAACATATTGTATCGTTATATCAAGATCCACATAAATCTTGATCTGTTTGGGACATGCATTTTTCGTCTGTTATTTACCATAAAGCTACTGATGCGAAAAAATGTTATCTCAAGAATACTGCCACCATGATATCACATTGGTGCCACCATTTCAGCGCCGGCTTCTGTCACGGGCCTAGACATGACCAAAACCAACTTGACCGCTCCAGACATCACCGTTGTGTTCGCCAAGGCTGTTGGGGATGCCACCATGTACATTGTGACACTCAGAGGACGGTATCGAGATACATACAACCAACAACATCAACCTGTCAACACTGGACAGGGTCTCATCTCTGTCGTCTTCACTGTTGTTGTCCCAGCTGCATCGTACAACCTGACCATACTAACACAGGTGGGAACCTCCAGAGTTTACCCTATACCACCGTGATACGAGTACAGTCAACTCGTGAGTAAAGTAAAACCTCAACATTTAGAATCTGTGAATGATGTAAATAGAACTGTACATAGATGTTGAACCGTATGTTATTGAACTATAACTGACACGAATAGTTTGTTATATGACATAATGATATAGTATAATGGTCTGTGTTGTAAAAGGATCATATGCAAATAACACTTAATAATCATTCACCCGTCGTACACCTCATATGACTTTTCAAACTTTTGGCACATAGTATATATCAATGCCCTAGTGATTTCATGTGTGTTATGTGCCAAATAGAAACTCTATTTTAAGAACAAACATTATGATAATATACGGACACTGGTCTGTGTCGTGTGAGAGAAACCATTTCCGTCAAGCAAATTTTGATCTACGTTTATTGACGCCAATAACAACTTTGGAAATTGAAACATATTTACATCGTAAATAGTCCAGCTTATAGTTTAGAATATTATAATATAGCAAGTGCAGGTTGATCATGTCTTCAGCTGCCGGAAGAGTTACCAATCTGAAGTCGTTTGACAACACGTCCCGCTCTGTGGCTGTGGAATGGAGCAGACCACTCAACCCGAACGGGCAGATCTATGAATACATTGTCGACGTAAGGACGGGTAGTCCTTCAGTCTGTGTGAAACGGGTCACCATCAACTGCACTGAATGTAACAGATATATGCTAATCTTTGTAAGTATGCAATATCGAAATATATGTTTATTCGTACTTTATTTACAGCAGTCAATCACGTCACAGATACATGTCATGTAATTCATAGAATATGTGTGCTTGTCTAATAATAAAACACAACTGCCTTAGTAGATCATGTGTAATGGTACATGGAGGTTTGATAGTGTGAACACCATTTGTGATGGTCGGACCAGATGCACATCAACTGCACTGAATGTAGTAGAGAAATGGCAAACTTTGTAAGTATGCTATATAGAACTGTCTGTTCATTCATAGTTTATATACTAAGGACCTGAGCCTAAAGATAATAAAAATCTTTGTAGAACGGTCTCAAGTGAGAATATGCACCCCTCCTTGTCTGAAGGTTAAGATGTGATGCTTCTTGACCGACATCCCCTCAAGTAACAGTCAAGTGTGAAATGCAAGTGCATGTCTATTAATGATGCTATCTAAACCATTCTGCGTGGATCAAACACCCAGCTGCAATAGACACAAATACAACAAATTGTACAACGTTGACAACACATCTTGACTCTGGTAAACTCTGATATATAAGCTATGTTCGTATTGTCTTTTCACAGATAAAGATGTAGACCAAATGTGACACAACCATGACTGTGGTGATAGCCCAGGCTGACATTGAAAACGCCGCACACGTCATACAGCACAACATTACAGGCCTGAACCCAGATACAACCTACGCCATAGACGTTGTAGCTGTTAATGAAGAAGAGGCCAGGAACAACCGACCACATTAATCTACAGACACCCGAGGAAGGTGAGACAAATATTGTAATAATATTACCTATTCTAGCACAACATTGTGTGATACTCGATTCTGACTGGCTGAGAGCTCATCAAAACCGTATTTAAATGGCAGTTTAAGGACCGCTAATACATTAAAGCGACCGACTGACCGCGTAGGCATACAGTGAACTCGTTGACCCTTTTGTATGTAAACAAACATGTCGGACATCGGCGATTTCTACTTTGGCAGCATCTTTGATGTTTTTGAAGTAAAAAGCGAATGGCTTGAAGAAGAATTTCTTGAGCATAATCCCACTGAATAAACTTCGAAGCGGGAAAATTCGTCAGCAGCGCAAAAGCGACAGTATTCCGCCATAATTCAAACCTGGCCTTGATCAGGTCAGGGCTTTTCCAAATTTGGAATAGCAGCGTGGTTACCAATAATTACTTACGTGAATAAAGTTAGCGGCGTTTGTCCTACAGTAGGGGAGATAAATAATTCGCTTGAGAAAAAAAATCAAAATTGTTCTTGTTCACAGTACAAACTGTATCTTTTGGTAATCTATTTATGCTATTTGTTACAAATTCAAGCATAGTGGTTCCTGGAATAAGCATTTATGTTGTTGAAAACGTGTTATTTTGTTCATTACACAACCTGTCCTTCAACTGGAGGTTCCAAGCAATTTCCAGGAAAAAGGCCCTTTCATGCCTTGTCGGCAAGGAGTCGGTGTAAAATGCTGATCAGTCGTGCTAGAATGAAGATAAAGCTACTGTTTTTAATTTTGCGATCCTTTATCGTTGATTTAAGACCGCTAAATGTTATTTAAAAAACCAAATGAGGTTTTTCACGTGGAACGTCGTGGACTAGTCAACTTCACATCAGGATTTACTGTTCTAAACTTACGTTGGTAGTAGCAATGCGACGTCCACACTGCACCATATGGTTTACGATAAACACAGACGTAACCAACATTATACTGTGAAGATATTTAACTCGAACGTAAACCGTCTTCAAACTGTTTATCATTTGTTTTCACGGCAATGTACATATTAAAGTAGGAGTGCAGACACGTCACCGGAAGAGCCCGTCAGTTAGTCATGAACTGAAAAAGACATACATGTACAGTTCGCTCTAGCCCCACCTATAGTGTAATAAAGTACCTTTTCCCTGAACTATTATAACGTTAATTAGTTACACAGCTACATATTTTACCTAAGTAAGTAACTTGTGTAAACGTAAAATTACACTTATCGACTTAGATATACATATATTCTAGTTGAACAATAGATTTAAGACTTGGATATTGGTTATGAATCAATGGGGACATCATCATCCATATGAGGTGAGACAGACTCTGCTTTTCAACTTTCTTGTAGCTGACCCTGTTATTCATGCTTTATCGATGTTCGATAGTGATTTTTCTCTGGCGTTGTCGGTTTGAAAAGCTTTTACTTTCCTAAAGCTCAACATATGTTTTGTATCAAAACTAACATTTCCATTTGCATTGTAAAGATGCCTATAGAATTTTCGTTTTAGTAAATATATGGATAATTTACGATAAACATCCAAAATGATTCCTAAAAACTTTTTTAGATTAAGTACAAGTGGGGTTCATTTTATGTGATCAAGTGTCCTGTTTGCGTTACAATAATTTTAAGGAAATATTTGTATTGTAGTTTTCCTCGGTATTTCCTTTGTGGTATGATGTTGAACCCAAGGGATATGTTAACTGGACCTGCAGGATGCCCTGATAATATCAAAATTCATCTCGAACACATTTTCACACTCACATTGTCTCTAATGTCCCGAAATATTCCCGTGCATGCCAGAATATGGAAGGAACTACGGTTTTCAAGATATTGTTAACTTGCTGGAATACTACAGTACATGTAAATACATATGGTCTGCATTTCAGGCGCTAGTTACACTACGAACTTCAAGGCACAGAGCAGGTCATCAAGCGAGATAACTCTGACATGGCATTCTCCGCAACCCCGACCTGGGTGTCACTCATTACAACATAACTGTGTATGAAAAACAGGAAGACAGCGAGGGTTACGACACTCTGAAGCTCATAGCACTTTCAGGTGTGTTTGTTTATTTTACACTTTTATGGTTTGATCTTAAGGAATGGTCTTGACCAATTGGCGTTTTCACACATAACTGTATGATCATATACAGGATACCCTTATAGATACCATAAAAATCGATAAAACGTAAATGATCTATATATCTTTACATGACTCCAATATCCTGAAAGTCAATATAGATTTTTTGAACATGCTATGCCTTCACACTTGGTTTTGAAGTAGGAGAGTTTAATTAACGCCGCTTTTAGTAATATTCCATCAATATCACGACGGGGGGACACAAGAAAGTGGCGTCATGATTTGTACCCATGTGTTGAATATTGAACACGGGTCTCCATAACTACTCATATAATAATCAGTCTTGACAACAATTTTGTTATCGATTGAGGAGTTTTAGGCCAAAACCGGCTCGTGTATCAACCCGTCAAGTACTCGCTATACTTTACCCGGGTTTACCCATGATATTTGCAAAAAAGTTGGGCAAACCCCCAATTCTAACTAAATACAAAGCAACCTATCGGGCTTACACGAAAACAAATGGCTTGCTGGTATTCCTGGTACTTGTTTTACAACGTTCTGCACTGTTCGCCGTATTCTGTCATTTCGATAAAAGTAACTTTGATAAACATTTTCCAGAAGAAACAGCTCCCTCTCGGTATCATGTGATGTCACCACGCTAGGTTTTGGCCAAGGTTTGTCTAATTATTCTCTCTTGTTTAGGGAGAAAGGGGGCAAAACTTCTCTGCGTCAATTATTGCAAATTTTATGCTTGAAATGCAGTCAGCTCCAAATATGGTATGTATTAGGAAATAGAAACACTATCCAAAAGGCGCGTCGGATAATAACAATCATGAGACAATGTGTACGAATGCCGTTTTCGATGAAAGTGAAACTGTCATTGAACCTCTGCCTTGACAGATGACACCTTGGACTAACTGAAATCTTTAGTCGACGTGATAATGATGCTCAAACTCTTGCCATAAAAGTTGAAATGCAGAGAGGCTTCGTAATTTATTTGTAAACCCATAGGTATCGGATAATAAAGTTCGAGCACGGAAGCTGGACTCGCGCTGGAAACAAATTGGATGTAGAGACTTGCACACATTTCAATGTCAGCACGTAAATGTCCTTCAAGAGACCGACCACCTGACTGCAAAGATGACAAAACCTCCTAAAGATAGGGGTAGTACCTCTAGCACTCAATAGCCACTTTGTAAAGGAAACAAAACTCCAACATCGAAAGCATAGACATATGGATCTGTTGTTTCTTCACAGAATACAAATTTGTATGTTATGGAGTAACATTTCGATAAGTTTTACTTTTGTTCAGCACTAATCTGGCTGAGCTGCGCGATGCGACACCTATCGGAGGATCGAAGAGAAGCTGTCTATCATTACAAGGGATTTTCAATAAAGAGGTACAGCCAAACTGACAGATGTTTTTGTTGTTGATTAATGCGTTCAAGAACCTCATTATCACGCACAGTGAAAACAACTGCACAATATCCCTTCAGTTTTCAGGTAATAAATAACTTAGTCAGTGAAATATGAAATCTGAGATATATCATTACCAGACATAATAATTTACCTTTTTTAAATGGTATTTGCGGTTCTGGTAATATCACTTCATGAATACTTTCATTGTTGTAATTAATTCTTAACCCGTGTCCCATCAAGTGGAGCCTCGGAGTCCACTCTGATGGTATGCTAAATCTATATTTCTCGATATAAATGTTCAGTATTCAGTGTATTCCTGAAATTGCAATACTGATTGCTTTGAAAAAGTTTCAATTTAATTATTCGGAAATGATTACCATTGATTTCGAAAAGCAAATATCTGTCACAAATGAACCGTCGAGCAAGTTTGAGATTGAACCTATTTTCGCGATGATGATGTTGGTGGTACTGATGCAGTACATTCTGACAGTGGATCACAAACTGAGTTCGAACTTTCCTCTGAAGAAGGTGTTAGCAACAGCAGTGACAGTTCTAATAGTGTTCTGTTCTTTCTACCAACACAAGCGGTGAGCAGTATGTAACTAAGATAAAGATGGAACAGTTCTGATCATCAATATCGCGGCCCCAATCACACAACATCCTCTCAGGTCCTTTGTAGAAAAGCATTGATTGTGACCATGTCGCACAGGACGTGGATGCCTTTAATCTTTACCTTTTTCAGTCTGTCGTCGACCAGATAGTCAAGCATACCAATGCTGAAGGGGAGCGACTTTTCCAAGCTAGGAAAGGAAACTGGAGAGACACGGATTCGATGACAATTCGTGCTCTTATTGGAATGCTTCTCCCACTCATGCTCTTTTATCCAGTACATGCCAATGAAGCCAGTTAAATGTGGTTTGAAATTGTTTTGTATCGTAGACTCAATCGTAGATCGTATCCTAGATCATTTTACCCACTCAGATTCATTCCATATCATGGAAAGGAGGGCAGAGACAGACAGGTGAATTTGGGCAGGACAGATAACTCAGGACTTGACTAGACCTTTCTTTCGGACAACAGAAATGTTACAATGTTACAACTGACAACTTTTTCACATTTATGTTAAAAAGGCATGTTATGGAAATACAAATGTAGCTATGTTGAGATTTAATCCATAAATGGTGGAAAATGCATTTACATTTTCTAAATGTTAAACATTACTTTTATATGACACTCTTATTAAAGAGTAAAAGAGGCAACATTCTCCGAACTTTTGTCACTGCCAGCTTTGTGTTACTATTGTGATACATGGCTGACTTACTGGGTATGGTTTTACGTCGCCTTTAGCAATCTTCCAGCAATATCACGGCGGGGGGCACCAGAAATGAGCTTCACAAATTGTACCCATGTGGGGATTGTGATACATGATATTGTGATACATTATAGTAATGTTCTGTTATCTTTACAGAAGAGTGCAGTTAGGAATTGTATATTTCAGGGTGGGGAATCCAGACGTACACCATTGGCAATCTCTCCAGCTATTGGTTTTACAAGTTTGATATAGTAGCTGGAAACACGCATTGGTGCTTCAGCCATTATCCTAAGCAGCCTGAAGATGACCTGATGACGATAAGATCAGGTACAAGATCTAAGATCAATAAGATCATTATCTCTCTCTCTCTCTCTCTCTCTCTCTCTCTCTCTCTCTCTCTCTCTCTCTCTCTCTCTCTCTCTCTCTCTCTCTCTCTCTCTCTCTCTCTCTCTCTCTCTCTCTCTCTCTCTCTCTCTCTCTCTCTCATATATATATATATATATATATATATATATATATATATATATATATATATATATATATATATATATATATATATATATATATATATATATATATATATATGTATATATATATATATATATATATATATGTATATATATATATATGTATGTATATATATATATATATATATATATATATATATATATATATATATATATATATATATATATATATATATATATATATATATATATATATATATATATATATATATATATATATATATATATATATATATATATATATGTATATATATATATATATATATATATATATATATATATATATATATATGTCATACTTTTGCGGTCAGTTGTTGGATGCGTTTGCTTTACAGATGTGACGCCTGTTTGGCTGTGACTCTTTTTCTGTTCCAGTTGGCTGAGTTGTCTTCAGGCCGTTCTCTTTTATGTCCTGGAATGGAGCGGGTTGTGTTTGGATTGAAGTCGAGGGACATCACTGATTATGTGTTTGGCCAGGGTACAGGTGTCGTGGAGTGTCCCAAACAGAAGGGGCAGAAATGGAGTTGTTAACCTCAATCTGCGTTGTTTCACAGGCGTAAGTTGAATTATTTGAGCAATCTCTCTTCATACGAGGCTTTGGCTGCAGTCTGCATTGTTTCTAACTACGATCAGGTGGATTGTTTCAGGTGATATGCGGGGAAAGTGGAATTATTCAAAGTTAAATAAAATATTAGCTTCTCCTGGATGTGACACTTTCCTTACTGACTTTTGAGTTTTGGATTGTTGTTTTTAATCTGTGAACACATTTATTCCGTGAACACTTATACATACAGAAGTAATGTATTTAGTGACTCAGTAATATTAAACTTTCAATATGGAATTATTTTTCATCTTTATGTTCATCTGTATGAAGCCCATCTCTGATGTCCCCCACCGTGATATTGCTGCAATATTGTTAAAAGCGGCTTAAAACTAAACTCACTCACTCGCTCAGTTTTCATCTGACTTAGCCGTATTAGTAAGAGGGTCAAAATGGACTAACGTTGCAGTCAGTGAAGTTATAAGCTGTTTTATTGACGTTTTATCACACTGTGCATAATCCTATCTGCGAGAGTCACTGCCCATTGCTGATCACATGTGTTATGATTGACTGGGGCACGTTAAAACGTCTTCATTAATTCGTCAGGGATACTATTACGTACCACTAATTTATCATATATGCTAGTGTAAGCTTGTTCGAGTGTCATTACTGTCCATACGAGCTCATTACAAATATGCTTCCACCTGTTGTTTTTTTTGTAACCAGCAACAGTCGACATATAATCCTATAAGCAAGAATGAGAACTTCACCAATAACGGCGACTGCATGTGGAATAAGAAGGTGAACGTTACCACAGAATTCAAGTATGTTTTCGAGGTGAGTTGAGACACGAGGCATATCACTATACTTATTATGAATGTGATTAATATGTTCATAAGGAAGTTTCAATCTATGAAACTGTAAATAATGAAGAATCCGAGCCGAGTGAGACTGGTGCACCATCACAATTTCCAACATGGCCATCAAGACAATATCAAGTCGTGAGGTGTAAGATAGCCCCTGAAATGTAAGTCAAGTGAGCGTATACTATTACCTGGTTGTCGTTTGTCCTCTGTCCTGTGTCGACGTCATCAGTAAGTATGTATTCCTGAGACAAAATGTACCAATTAATCTAAAATTTCATGTGTTGGTTTTCATCAATCACATTAGTTCTTCCCCATGCAGCCACGCAGAAAACAAACGTTGATTGCGCAAAGCAACAGCGACATAATAAATGATATGATGGTGAAATTAATCTAGCCACAACAGTGCTCAAGCTTCCGAAACAGGCCTGAAAGTCGAGGCTGAAAAAGGTGATATGTAGACAACCGCGTGCTGGTTTTCACTGCACATAAGATGACAGCGGCGTGTGCTTACCCCATTGTATAGCCTCAAAAATCTTCCAGAAAATTAGGGTGCGGTGGGGTAGCTTAGTGGTTAAAGCGTTCGCTCGTCACGCCGAAGACCCGGGTTCGTTTACCCACATGGGTACAATATGTGAAGCACATTTCTGGTGTGCCCCGCCTTGATATTCCTAGAATATTACTCAAAGTGGCGTTAAACCATACTCACTCACTCCAGAAATTTATATATTGTACAAAGTAGTAAGATTGGTTGCAGTTCTGGAAGATCCCAGATCACACCTAAACCGTAAGACATCTAAATAGAACAACGTCAGCACCACTCGTTACATCTGACAGTAATTCATTCTGGACAAGTAACTATTGTTCAAACACAAACTCCTTACGAATAAGTCCTTCACTTGATTGCCTTTTTCCTAAAACCTATTTCGGAATCCAGGTGGTCCTCCAACCGCTATCCACAGAAGTTATCTCCCCTAACAGATGCGCGGGAAACCTCATAATTTTTTTTTTCTGTTTAATAAACAAAATGTTTCCAAATTTAGGCCTCTTATTTTGTTATCATAGATAAATGTAAGGGCTTTTTAATACATTTGGTCCCTCCCTCAGTTTAAAGAAATTGCTCAGCCTGCAGGAAATTAATGACTCCACAGACTCTTGCGCTATCGTCTGCCGTTGTTCATTAGCTATCTCAATCAGCTTTCGAGAAATATACTCTGGTTGTTAAAACGGGTCAAGAAAAATGACATAAAATTGTGCTCCCGTACACCAGCAAATTATGTAACGCAAATTCGCCTGGTGTGTTTTGCGACAGTTTCAAATAATGCATTATATCAGATTTGTTTCTGCCTTCAAACTTTTGTCCTAATTACCACGTGAAAATTATTTGAATATCAATGGTAACTGCACAACGGCCGCCTTTGTAAACTGTTGACCATATATCTACGTGGGCTGCTGTGATATCTTTTTAAACATGCGTCACCCATGCCGATATACAGGCCATGATCCAACTGACTACATTCAGGCCTACCAAAGAAAAACTTCCCCACTGGGCAGAAAAACGCAGAAAAGCCCACATTAATCGTGGAAATAGCAACATAAATGTAATACCTCGCTACTGAAACAGTAAAAACGAGGAGCCCGCAACTTCGATTTTGCGCATGCGCACATTGAAGAGGAAGTCTCGACCGCATGTTGACATTTTCCAAGCTTGGACAAAAGTTGCATTCCTTTTAAAGTATTTCTGTTGTGTTATTTAGCATTTATCATAATGATACTTTATATGTACACTTGTTTAGTTTACTTTTCATTCGTATGAAACGATTGACAGCAATTATTTCGACATATTTAATACTTTTCTACGCGAGGCGATTCACGGTTGCTCGGAAATTGGAAAGAAGCCGAGATCGTAATGCGCATGCGCAGTAGAGGTCAAAGTTCGCTGATATAAAAAAGTTTCATAGTTTTCGTTGCCGTTTTACTGTTTCAGTAGCCAGGTAATGTGTTTATGTTGCTATTTCCACGATTAATGGGCTTTTCTGCGTTTTTCTGCACAGTGGGAAAGTTTTCTTTGGTAGGCTTGACATTAATCTCGGCATTTACTGCCGACAGTCAAGCGAGATGCCAGCATCCTTTGAGCGGTCTTCGGATAGTCAAATCTGGACGAGAGCAACACGACTCACTGAACATAAGCGTCGATCTAAGCCATCCAGTTTGGATGAAACATGACGTAATGTCCCAACGGTTAAATTGAGAACATTGTTTACCGTAACCGTTTCCGAGAGATGAGTGACTCGAAGGCGGCATTGTATTATGCGTGACAAGTTTTCTCGAGTCCCTTACGTCATTATATATTATTACATCACTGTTATCGTCACAAAGAATCTGAAATGATACTTATTCTAGATATTTTCTCCGTAATTAGGTACTTCTCTACAACAGAGGGTTTGCAGGCTCTGTAGTCAGTGTAAGCAAAGACATAGTGGGAGGCGGTAAGTATTGAATTACTTGACTAACATTTCGACTGGGTGATTTACTGGATACTTAGTATTAACTGCTGTGATGCGTCGTTATTATTTATAACACTCAGCAGACCTGTAGTTGGTTAATAACAGTGACGAAACCATTTCCAGTCATAACAAATCTTTACGTACAGTGTAACCTGTACGGTTTTGAATGCGCTCTGTAATGTATTAACTCAAATTTGAACTCTGCTGCTACCACTTGACATGTGTCCAGTGGAATTCACCAGTCTTCACCTATGATTTGATGATATTGAGTTTCCAAGTCACACAATACGCCTCACGAAATAATTACACGAGTATGATCTCTTGTGAGGGGTCCCAATTGCATCTAATTCACATGGTTTTAAATTCCAGTTATATTAAAATTGAAATTTAGCATTTTGCAATCAATAATAATTTGAGTATTTGTTTCTTTGTAACTGACGAAAATGTGTTCTGCATTGGGCATATGATTTCCAAAACCAGACAATTGTGTAGAAACGGAAGTGTTAATGACTATATTTAAAACAGTGACTGATGTCATTGGAATAGAGGTGTTTAAAATTTGTGCTATTCGTCAGCGGTGTGTGTATATTTTGCAAGAAGTGAGTAAACTTTTCTAGCCATATGATATCATTTTATTTATTTGTTAGTTCTCTAACGACCAAATCTGCAATATTCAAGCTACATGTCCTCTACCAGATCTAGTGACCGACACGATGAACATCGATCTACGCAAATAGAATTCTTTGACATGTATCACCCAATACAAGAGTCATCAGAAGATGACATATTCCCCGGCCTCCACATATTTAAAAGAACAAATCATCTGACAGTTATTAAAGTCAAGCTTGGTTGCCCACTGTTTAGACTAAGTTTAAATTGTTTCCATGGAAACCGGGAAAAATAAAAATGCCACAAATCTGTAAACAGCAAAAGGCACCACTTCAAGATCTGCCTCACATATCTGCCAAGTTTTGCTGAAAGATATTAAGAAGTTTTTGAGTTGTGCCCGGAAACGAAGTCCACCCCTTCCTTTTGAGACAAAGTCCGAATCGTTTCCATGGAAACCGAGATAATAATAAATCACAAAAGTCTGTAAATGGCAAAAGGCACCACTTCAGGACCTGTCTCATATATCTGCAAAGTTCTGTTAAAAAGATATTGAACGGTTTTCGAGTTGTGCACCGGAAACGAAGCCCACCCCTCACTTTTGAGATTAAGTTTCTCGTTTCCATAGAAACAGGGGAAAATAAAACGCCACAAATCTGCAAATACTAAAAGGCACCACTTTGGGGTCTGCCTCACATATCTGCCAAGTTTTGCTGAAAGATATTAAGAAGTTTTCGAGTTGTGCTCCGGAAACGAAGTCCACCCCTCCCTTTTGAGACTAAGTCCGAATCGTTTCCATGGAAACCGAGATAATAATAAATCACAAAAGTCTGTAAATGGCAAAAGGCACCACTTCAAGACCTGTCTCATATATCTGCCAAGTTCTGTTAAAAGATATTGAACGGTTTTCGAGTTGTGCACCGGAAACGAAGCCCACCCCTCACTTTTGAGATTAAGTTTCTCGTTTCCATGGAAACCGGGAAAAATAAAAATGCCACAAATCTGCAAATACTAAAAGGCACCACTTTGGGATCTGCCTCACATATCTGCCAAGTTTTGCTGAAAAATATTAAGAAGTTTTTGAGTTGTGCTCCGGAAACGAAGTCCACCCCTTCCTTTTGAGACAAAGTCCGAATCGTTTCCATGGAAACCGAGATAATAATAAATCACAAAAGTCTGTAAATGGCAAAGGCACCACTTCAGGACCTGTCTCCATATATCTGCAAAGTTCTGTTAAAAAGATATTGAACGGTTTTCGAGTTGTGCACCGGAAACGAAGCCCACCCTCACTTTTTGAGATTAAGTTTCTCGTTTCCATAGAAACAGGGGAAAAATAAAACGCCACAAATCTGCAAATACTAAAAGGCACCACTTTGGGTCTGCCTCACATATCTGCCAAGTTTTGCTGAAGGATATTAAGAAGTTTTCGACTTGTACTCGGAAACAAACCTATCCCTCCCTTTGAGACTAAGTCCGAATCGCTTCCATGGAAACCGAGAAAAATAAAATGCCAAAATCTGTAAACAGCACAAGGCACCACCTTAAGTTCTGTTTGATATATCTACCAATTTTGGCAGAAACATATTGAACGGTTTTTAGTTATGCTCCGGAAACGAAGCCCACCCTCCCTTTTAAGACTAAGTCCAAAACGTTTCCATGGAAACCGAGAAAAATAAAATGACAAAAATCTGTAAACAGAAAAAGACACCACCTTAGGTTCTGTTTGATATATCTACCAAGTTTTGTTGAAAAACATTGAACGGTTTTGAGTGATGCTCCGGAAACAAAATGATTACGTACGGACGGACGGACGGACGGACGGACGGACAGAAGGACGAGGCGTCGACTATATTCTCCCGCATTACATGGCGGGGATAATAAGACACTGGCGTGTATAGCCCAAGTTAGTACAGTAACGAAAATTAAACAAAGCTAGCACTGACAATGTCACTACTAAGAATGGCGTCACAAACACATTTTCGTTTTCACTACTATTGCAGTATTATGTATGATGTTAGTACGATTGCTATATTGGCAATGAATGTACAGATACATTGTTTGATTGAGAGGCCTGAACACACAGTGTATGAAAATGTGTCTGACAGTGATGACAGAGTTGAATGAGGAACAGATGTGTATGTATGGTTATTGTGAATAGATGGCTGATAAATATGGTATATGTGTTACAGTGAATGGATAGGTATAGCTAACTGAGCTGTTAATGTATGAAAGACTGTATGACAATGACATATTTGAGATGGAATGAATGAATATTTCGTGACAATGTTTTATAGTTAATATATGGCCATATGCTGTTTGTCTGTTTGAATGAGTGCATGATTCGTTTGAATGGTTTTAGTGAGTGAGTTTGGTTTTACGCCGCTTTATGCAATATTTCAACAATATCACGGCGGGGACACCACAAATGGGCTTCACAGATTGTGCCCATGTTAGGAATCGAACCCGGGTCTTCGGCGCGAAGGCTTTAACCACTAGGCTACCCACCGCCCCTTGATTGGTTTTAGCTAATGTACAATAGGTATATGTTGTTTGTCGGAGTAGGATTGGTGTGTGGAAGATAGTATGACAAATTATGAATCAGTAATATATGGGGATGTATGACAAATTGAAAGGATTTTTTTTATTGTTAAACTTATTTATTCAAATATTTATCTAACTTGGTATCTAAACTAACTAACCAGCTTACCAACCAAGCAGCCAGCCAACAAACTAACCAACTAATAACCCACTAACCAATTGACCCACTCTCTCACTCACTCAACTCACTCACTTTACCAGGAATGAATGAAGGCTTTGAACAGATGACAAATGTAAGAAAGAATAGTGTGAATGTATTATTGAGTAATACCTTAGTTTGAAGCGCGTATGTATTATGAAAGTGTCTCGTAGGCTCTATGGCCGGGCATTGTTTTTATTTATATGCGTGACACTATATAATAAACATTTCTTTCTTCCTCTTCTTCTTCTTCTTCTCTTAAAAGTACTTTGTCTGTGTTTTGTTAGTGATGGGGAATATTCCATTTAATCTTTGATTAAAGTATAGAAACACTGACTTTCTCGCTTTATTTTTATTATGAAAGGTAATTGCACATTTACTGAAAAGTATAATTTTGATGACTCAACATATTTTACTTCAGTACTTAAGAAAAATAACTATGATGGGATTTTGTACTTGAAAATCTGTTAGCTTTTATGTTATTGGTGAGTAACCCCCGAAAGAATGAATGTATGCAGCATGTTGTCTAATAATGAAACTAACCTAACTACCTCTTGAATACTTAGATAATAATTTCTGTGGAATATTCAATAATTAGTTGATTTTCTGTCAAAGTATGAAAACTTTCTAAGTTTAATAAGAATGAAAATGAAAACTTTACGAACTTTTATATGTTGAGATTACAATTTGATAATTGTATTTAGCAAGGTAATAGCAATTGCAACATCAAACGTTTGCTGTTCTGAGATAAATGTCCCTAAAAAATCATCTAACTGAGTAATTTATACATAGGCTAGAATACCCGTTACCCTGACAACTGTTGCTATGGAGCTGTACCCATCAACTCTTCAAAAATATAACTGAAGGGGAAGTTATATTTACTCTTTCAGTACAAAGTAAAAGAATTCTGACAGCACGGATGGTTTTAACAATATTGTCAACTGAACAATAGTACATTTTCACATGCGATTCTGGGTCAATTTCGTAGAATACTAATTTTACGGCTAATTAATGAAAAATACTGAGAGCAAACACATTTCTGAGTGACATGACATTTTACAAGGCCAAATATAGAGAATGACAAAATTTCAAGTGAATATGAAATTGTGGACTTATCCACCTCTGCATGATTCTTAGGTGGAATGCTACTTAAACATTCACTGTCTATTTTGTAGCCCCACTGCAGTCGGCAGTTATGGAATCTGTGAAAAAAGGAGCAGGAGAAACAGAGGAAACGGTGACACTGAACATCTGCCCGAAGTGTCTGAATGATCGAACAAACGGTCAAGTAAATATCACCGGGATGATGGTGTGTAAGAAAGGAGCAAGCTGTGGACAACGCAGTGAGTAAACTGTAGACGGAAATACTTTCAAATCTCATATTGCGATGTTTTTTTCTTATTTGCAATTAAACATATCACTGAAATGAGTGAAATAATGACTGTGGACGTGGTCAGAATCCCCACTATTTAACGTTGTAATAGTGTGTATACTATGTCGCAAGCAATTTGCTTTGTTTGTTTGTTTAATGCCGCACCGTGCAATATTCCAGCTTTCTGGCGATGCTAGCAATTGGAACTTTTTCGGAAATTGTTAAAGTGAATAAAAATGATACAACTGCAAATGTTAATGTCCGGTTTTCTTGATCTAGAAATAACATATATGACGTTCCTGTTTGAATACTCGGTACTAATTATGCAGGAAAACGTCGCGCAACAGCCTCTGCTGCGGACTATAACAAAATTGCTAACTGGAATGTGGCCAGTGCATATAGTTTCAACGTGGAGTACAGGGCAACAAAGCCAGATTGGCTTTGCTGGAAATATTCGTGAGTACTGGTGACATCCTTACTGCAACAGCTGACACATGGTTACAATATTTAATACGGGATGAAAAACATAATTAAGGTATCTTGGATTCTAAACTAATATAAATCAATAAATGCTCCTGGGATGTTTGTTTTTCCTATTGACATATATAGCTGCCTTCTGCAATTATGTACAAATTGCTTTTTCAAAGGTCAACAAATGTCCGTGCAACTGCAGACCCTTTCGGGAACGCTAAGTGTTACTGACTTAGTTGGGTGATCATTTTCCCCAGATTTCATAAATATTGGTGTTTAGGCTCAGTGACTGATTTGGATTATGCATACTGGATTGTTTCATCGCGATACATCCGATTTAATGCTCTGATGTTTAACAACACACATACAAAACGTCATTGATACATGATGCTAATGATCATATTTTTATTGACAGGTAAACCCACTTTGACCTTTACTCTAGGAGGAAGATTGCACTGGAAACCTGCCAGGCATTTTCTGTAACGGGAAACTCCTGCAGGAGAAACATTTATGTAAGTTGTTGATGACTCCGACAATCGGATATTCGTATTGTGAATATTTACAATACTAAGCATTTCAGAACACTTGCTCATGAGTAATACATCTTTAGGCTGCATATAGATCCATATTCTGCATTCGGTAAAGTAGTGACTTGTTACTTGCTCTGATGGCAGGCTCACCACTGTCACACGTTTTTCAAACGCCAGTGACGAATGTTGTGAAATCATGCACCGACAAGCCACAAACATGAAGAGCCCGTCGTGCAATACAAGGCCGACTCGTCAGCCGATCTACATCAAAACCGCTGTCATACTCCAGGGTCGTACCATTGGCAATCACATTGTACCATCAGGCTCATTCCCTGCACATGTACGACCGATGTTAATGTTGGTTGGACCACATCATAAATCGAGATTGCAATCTGGCTTCATAGAACGTGTCCAAAGTACGGAGGATGTTGCTTATTGCTAATTATGTCTCTCTTTCCCCTCCCCTAGTTAACTCAAGTAATACAACACATTTAACGTCAAGCATGTATTTATTCATGCATACATGCATGCATGCATGCATAAATACATACATACATGCATACATAAATACATACATATACGCACACACGCACGCACGCACGCACGCACACATACATACAGTTTTTCTGCGTTATTTTCAGTGTTTACGCTTTCACGTGCACAAATCATGGGTGTACCACAAGTCCACAAATTGAAGTTACAACAAAGGTATGTTTCAAGAATAAATAACCTGACTTTGACTCATTACATATAATGTATCTGATAGGAATCATTTAGACCATATCAACTATTAATAACTGTACATCTAATTACAGCTTCGTTCCCAATTGCTGCTGTGGTCGGAGGACTAGTTGCTGCAGTTGTCGTCATCGTTGTTGTGATCGTCGTCGTGGTTATCCGTAGACGAAGGTATGTTTGAGATTCAATACGTACGAACTCCTTCCACAATGTTCAGCAATCTTTGCTAAAAGCTCGTTCCGTTTTATGATCCCGAATCTATCATTACCATATATTTATGAATAAAAATGAATAACTGTGAATGAGTGATGGTCCCACTGGGTTCGCGAAAGGTGAACGAAGGACTAAAATGTCATGATACTGGGTAACCATGTTACTCTCAAAGTGAGTGAGTGAGTTTTGTTTTACGCAGCTTTTAGCAATATTCCAGCAATATCACGACGGGGACACCAGAAATGGGCTTCACGCATTCAGTGGTATCTGCCCGTCATCAAGATATAGCATGGGCAAACACTGTGCTAAAATTAAGTCGATTATATCATGCAATGTCTCCACTGTGTCCAAAATGAGAAAACAATCGTCTAATTACGTTACTTATTAAACAGTGCATCCATTCTTTGACATACATATACATACCCAAAGGTTCTGATTTCTTACAGAAAAGCACACAAGGAGAGGCCCTAGAAGGGGCAGAGATGAAGTCATCGCAAATGATCAAATCCGCCCAGAGCAAGATGACGTATACGACAAGATTCCCGATGGTCAGATGGTGACTGTCGACAGCAGCCACAGTAATTGGGGTTGTGTAAATTATGTGTCAGGGCAATACTCTCCAGAAACATTGACCATACCTATGACGCACTTACCACTTTACCAGAATGCAGATGGTCATGATTATGGGAGGATAAATGTTGAAACCAGTTTTAAATAAACCTACAAGTAGCAATAGCAAAATGAATACCATAGGTTTTTCAATGAAATCATGTATAGTACATGCAGCCAACCTTTTCAAATGCTAGTGCTGTTTAGTTTGTGAATGGTGAGTACTCAGGATATTAATCAATGTTCATGTACGTGACAGGTGAAATGTTTTAAATAAAAGTAGCGATAGTAAATTGAATACCATATATTCTGAAATGCAAACATGAACAGTACACATAGCCAACAAAATCAAATGCCTTTGCCTTTTTAGTTTGTGACTGATAAGCACTCATGTACATGTACGTGGCAGGTGTAATGACTCATTGTGCCCATAGATTGTGTTGTTCTATTGTTTCAATGTGTAACGAAAAGCATAAGAATGTACCATCTAGTATTATGTAACACATATATACGCTATATGATGTAGTTCAACCCTTGTCGGTTCCATAATTTAAAGAAACCATTACAGTTTCTGTACGATTCCGACTAGATCAGTTTAATAATATGTTTATGGAGGAGTGGAGGCTGGAACGTACCATAGACATTAATCTTCTCTGCATAGTGGTGCTACTATCGACAACAAAATGTTTTGAACTTTGCATTGTTCAACAGAGCCACACGTTTATGCTTAAAAGTGTTAACGATGGATCATGAATTATAAATGCTAATGCAAAGGATTAAAACACAGACAAGAGCTGACTCCAAACTTCACATGCAAACACTTTAAGTCTGTAACAACTTTCTATAATCTGCACGTGCCGCACAGGAATGTGCCATACCTCTTTGGACATTTTCAGAAGGCCGAGGACCATTCTTTCTGTCAGTCTGGTCGATTGAGCTCATCATATATTTGTGATTTACTTTGATAGTAGTATAAATTTAAGAGCTTCGGAACCTCAATGGAGGCTCTGACCTAGAAACATCATCCTTAAATAGGCTTTCTGACGTCATAGCGCACTTCCTGACCCTAATCTACACCAGATGTGAGTCTCTGACGTCCTTCGACCTTTGGAAATGAATACCTCACACACCTGAGTCAACAACATCCATCTAATTTTAGTTCATTGTCACCCACACGCTGTCTCCACTCCCATCTGACATCATATAATGCACCTAATAGCATCATCGATGTACCCAACGACTTTCTATTTTAAGAGCTTCGGAACCTCAATTGAGGCTCTGACCTAGAAACATCATCCTTAACTAGGCTTTCTGACGTCATAGCGCACTTCCTGACCCTAATCTACACCAGATGTGAGTCTCTGACGTCCTTCGACCTTTGGAAATGAATACCTCACACACCTGTGTCAACAACATCCATCTAATTTTAGTTCATTGTCGCCCACACGCTGTCTCCACTCCAATCTGACATCATTTAATGCACCTAATTGCATCATCGATGTACCCAACGACTTTCTATTTTTTTGGGAGGGGTAATGCACCTAATAACATCATAGATGTACGTAATGACTTTCTATTTTTGGGATTCATCGTCGCCCACACCTCGTGCACCTGATAACATCGTCGATGTACACAATGACTTTTCTATTTTTGGTAATGCACCTAATAACATCATAGATGTACGTAATGACTTTCTATTTTGGGTTCACCGTCGCCCACATTCTGTCTCCACTCCCAGATGACATTTAAATTTTGGGGGGAGTCAAATATTACACACACACACACCCACACACACACACACCCACACACCACCAAAACAGATCTATACATATATATATAGATATAGATATACAAGAGCTTCAAGTTTTAGCTGCACTTACACTTGCTCCCCAGCCATCATTTGCCTCAACTGTTTTCCAATATACCAGGAGAATGTCTAAACGTGCTGCTTCAGAAGATTCTACCAGTACCGACAAAGTCTTCAAACATATGGTGACAACTTTACCATTAGATGAACTCATGAAAAAAGCTGATGAAAATGGTATACTAATCAAAGAAGATACAACACGATGTCGAGTCAGCGAGCTGCCACCATGTCTTATAATGAAGATAGACTCCTACAAGGCAGTGGACGTCCGCAACGAGTCATTGTGGAAGGTGGTTTTAACTCCAATCATGCAGAAGGATGACGCTCGTCGTTTTGATATTCTACTAAACAACCAATACACATACAGGCCCTAGAGTTTTCAACACATCTGGTATTCAAGGGACAGGGCCAATCAAGAAATAATCGCACCTTCAACAGACTTGAATTTGTTTCCTGCATGGAAGATGGAATTAATGAGGAGGAGGAAGAGGACGGAGAGGAAATGCCGGAAGCCCCTGACACAATCTCTGTCTTCTTAGGTGAGTAATGATAAAATATTACTCAAATGTTTAAGGATAATGTACTTGAGTGTATAGCAGTTAATGTCACAAATGTTCTTTATGCAAATGCAAAGTTGTGTAAGGTTTTATTTGATATATTTTTTATCTTAGAATATCACATTATATATTAGTTTTCTTGGGTGAATCAGAAGATAAGTTTATCCTCAATAACCATTTGTCAAGATAACAGATTATCTTCCCCGTTGGTTGTAATGTATGACCGTTGTAAATATATCATTATTAGTCGTCTATATTTTTACTATTTCATTTCAGATAGAGAAGACTTCTTGCTGGAATGTGTTTACATCAGTGTAATGTCATAGTAATCAGCCAATGTTCCATTATTGTAAACAGTCAGTATTCCAATATGATCCGACATTCTAATGTGAATCAATATTTTAATCATTTCTCAATAAACAATTAATTATAAGTATTTGTTTGTTTTGGGGTTGTTTTTTTTTGTTTTTGTGTGTTGCTATGTTCATAGTATAGATAGATATCACCGTTACCCAAGACCCTCAATTCACAAATAAAATAAAACGGATACAATTAATCAAGAGATAAAGATTATCTATTTTTTCATTATACTTCAATTTTGAGAATGCATTATCGTACTCTCTTGATTATTTGCACCTGATTTATTTTTGTGAAACAGTTTCCATCTTCACCTGTCAATGTTGATACTACACATGTGTTAACAGAAAATCTGCGCTCTTCGTTCTATGTAGACCAGAATGAAGTCTAAGCAAAAATAATTTCGGCTATGATTAAAAAACAACACCAATAGATGATAAGACAACACAATAATATCTCATAAAATTATATTAACATTCCAACCCATACAGAACAAAGAGCACAGATTGACAACTCATTTCTCAAGGACCATAGTATCGATTCAACATCAAAGGCACGTGATTCCAATTGCACCAATAAGAAAGGATTTAAATCTGATCAATCATTCGTGTCAGGATTTATTTTTCTCGAATATGTTACGGATTACAATTTTCTCACAACAACTTCAAGCGATATAATCATGGGTTGTATTCATGGAATTGTGACAAACGAACTAATCTGATTACTATGGATTCACATGACAACATCGAATAATGGTAATAAACTTCCACACAAAAAGGTTGTAGTTATATGTCAGTTAACTTTCAAGGAAAACGATTTTAGTTTAAATATCATTCAAGAAAAAACAAACTCAACACACTTACGACTGGGTCATATGTCAAGTCACAAGTTTTATTAATAACATCTCGTATATTCTTCCTAAAACGGAAGGTAATACCCGACGCTATCGCAACCACCAACGACACCACCAAAGAGACTACGGTTGTCCCTCACAGAGTTTAGTAGTATATGTGTGATAGAGTGGCAATTACAGTCATACTTTCAACTAATATACTTGTAGTTATAGAACTTGTAGTAGGAATTGTAATAGGTGACCAATTTTCTGAAAAAACCCATAAAAACATAATCAAATTGAATTTATAGTGTTTCTTTATGTTAGAAACATCCTAGATTGAAAATTATTACAGAATCATACATCATATTGACCAAATCAAATCTCTGGAGTGAGGTACCCAGTTTACAATTGAGTAAACTAAACATAAAGAATTTTGTCCATTGATACTACATATTACTATATCCATATAATTAGGTGTCCACACAGTAATCGTTATCTTCATGTACTCACCCTTACAAGATATTCCGTTAACCCTTCACACTCGACACCCCAGGGCCCTGAATGTCATCACACCTCGCCCCACTCCTAGCATGTACTGAAATTAGTTGATAACATAGATTGAGAATCTGAGAGGGGTAGCATGTTAAATATGTTTATTTCAATCAAAACGTAACTTATTTTGGTATTAAATTATACAGCTATCACGTTTCTCCATTGCAGTCCCATGCATAAACCCTCTGCAGCCTACGCTTACCATAGAAGGTTTGGTGGTAGAACACCTAACCCTACTACGGTCATCAATGCCTACATTCTTAGTTTCGACACCTTAAATCTATGCAGGTTATGTTTTCATTACTAATAGAATGTTTTCACATGTTTCATGTCAATAAACTGCTTCAAGGTCCTCTGGTGATTGAAGTATTGAAACATAAAAATGTGGGCTATCGTTAACAATATATTCTCGAGACAAAATAATCAGATGGGCTTCCTTTGTCAAAATAAAGGAAGTGGGTATTGAAACATAGACAAAACTGACATAGAAAAAAATAACATTATGCCAAGTACACACACACATCTGATATAACTCAAGTTTTGTCATATAATCTAAAGTAAACGATTCCGTACATAGTGTTATAGGGACCAATGCATGACATCCATCGTCCAAATATTTGTACTCAAGACATGTAAGACTTTATTGTAATATATATATATATATATAAGCTGTATTTTAATCACTACCGTACATCCTTATCACTACCGCATTGTAAATTGACTTGTCAGCCCATTAATTATTGTATAAGACATTTATAACCTTCATCGGTAATCCCCCTTGGCCGTGTCTGTCATCACATCAACTGGTCAAGGAAGTGCTATTGTTTTTCTGTCTGTCCATTGATGAGTCGTCGCCTGTCCATTGTTGTCAAAAACTGTATATATACTTAGTATGCTCACATCTAGACAGTGAAGGAGTACGAGTTCGGTATTTGGACTGTCTGTTGGGACGACCACGAGCAGGATAATGCCCCTCGTAGGAAACGCCCTGGGGGTTGAGCATGAACTCTGCTCACCTAAGTTATGTCTTGTGTATTTGTTTGTCATGTAACTAAAGAAGTTTGAGCTCAACGTATTTATTCGTCTTGTCAACGTATTCTACCTACACTTCGTCTTAATTCTGAGCTAATTCCCCAGTCGACACATACACCACGCGTTCACAATAGTTTCCTTATTAACTTGAGTGAGCTGTTTATTAAAATGTTTTGACACTTTTTTTAACTTGAATGAATTAGGTCAGCAAATAATGTAAACTCAAATGAAATAATACGACCCTCAACAGATGTATCTGTTATAATAAACAACACGTCGACATGCATTAACCCTACACAATAAAAACATGATTGTTTACCATATACATTCTCATTTCTCATTCTTTTACGTGAGAAAACACCTCAAAGTTGTTATATAACAGGAAAATTAGCATTTAGTTTTAAAATATATATAGAAAACTTGTAATACTTACATTTTTAACATATATGATCGAAGGTCTTATCGAAATGGTGCTTCTCTAAGTCCGATTCGGCTCCAATTGTAAATATGCCAAGATCCTTAATCTCCTTCAACTTTAGGAGAGGTTCTACTGGAAATCCAGCCCTTTTAATTCTTAGGGTCCTCTTGTCTCTGTCGTAGATGAAGGAGGTGTCGTCCTCCTCGATCGTCAGTAAGACACGGAAAGTTGGAATAAAGTCCCTCTTGTTGAACAGTGT